GAACCGTCCCCCACTTTTATACCCAGTATGGGGCTTATAAATGTTCAGCAAACTTGAAATGACCTTCTCTGAACTTTTTTGATTGGTGGATCTTGTGGCTACAGCATCCCAACCACTCCACTGACTCCCATAAACACTTTTGATTACTTACCACGAAGAATTAGGCTCCTAGAAAAATGGCATAGCCACTTAACTAATGATGACAAGTTCCTAGATTTAACATACCTCCCATTTCACTAAGTGATCTTTCCTATCCTCATCATTCCCTGCCCATAAAAAATTCCTCATCATACCCTCTAAGCGCTCAATCACATTGGTGGGAACCTCAAACAAACACATATAGGGAATATGGATACCAGATAGATATGCCTAGATAAGAGTATCCTACCTCCCAACGAAAAATATGAAAGTCTCTATTGAAATGAAGTAGAAGTAACAGAGTTAACCAAACACTGTCAAGTTATTAAAAATACCTAGTTCTTTGTTCTGCTCCAAGACATTTTGAAACCAGGGCTCATTGAATGATCCTGTGACAAGCATTTGTTAGATTCTGTATCCAAATAACCCAAAATCAAATGAAGTGAAAAACCAAGACAGGGTAACATGCCATGATAGACAACAGGTTTTACACCCGGATCTTTTAAAAAGACAACAGCAGGGGCAGATTCCACTCCAAAACTGTTAACAGTGGAAAAACCTCAGATGTTTAGTCCATGGCACAAAAGAGTGAAGAACAGGACCTGTAACAACTAAAAAAGTTAAAGATACATAATTGTAGATGCAATCTATATTTTACAATTAGAACAGAATCCTTTTTCAGGAATCAAGATATTGAGCAATTTGAAGAAAATCAAAGAAGAAACATTCACATACGAATTCCACCAAAAAGAAGATTCCTCTTTCCTCCATAGAACATAGGCAAAAGAGATATAATTCCAGTAATCCTTTGCAGCTTGACGTACAAATGGTGTTGCACGCTCTCCTGTTTCTGAGAAGAAAATGGCTTTCACCTATGTGCCAGAAGCATGAAATGGTGAGAATTAAAATTTTATTTCAAAAAAGAAATGGTGACAATCAAAATGACTTGATAATATTCTTCATGAAATATAGCAAATGTAAATCAAATCAAAACCACTAAAGACCACTAAACAACTAAAGATTATCCAGTGGGAAAAAAAATCTTTTTTAGTTAAAGGAAAAGCTTTTACTAACAAACTTCCTGTAGGTAATGTTATTTTTCAACAAAAGATGAAACCCAAATGCACGATAAGATCAATAAATTCACTAATGAGCCACCAGAATTGAGTATAGTTTTATCAAATGAGCCACTGCAATTGATAACAATGGAGATAATTCGAGTATATAAAGATAGAGCATAGTTTCTTGATGTTCTTCTATTCGGATAAATTTTCCATCGCATGCAGGTTCATGCATACTCATTCAAACATAAGGAAAATATTCATAAATAAGCTGCAATAAATGAAAAAATGGAAATAATGTTAATTAAAAAAGAAAAATGATGCTTGTGACGCCACCATGTTCATACTAAGAAAAAACCTTTCTGTTATAGTGCATATACAAAAAACATTTTTTTAATTAATTATTCTTCTACATGCCATATAAATGAAGCCCCCTTGAGAACAGATTTGCAATAAGGTCACTACTCGGGGAAACAAGTAAGTTCTTCCAAGCAAATTCAAAACTATTAGATTATTAATTCAACCAGAATAATGTTAGCCTACATTCAAAACCTAAAAGCTTAAATTTACAGGTTAAAAAATATTTATTACATTTCTTGAACTAGATTAAAAAATGAAGATTCAAAAATAAAGAATACTAGAGATAAACATAAATGGTAAGCACAACCATGTCTTCTTGGTGCTAAATCCATTTAAGATATCTCTTCATGGTTTGAAAATGAATCATGAACAAGTATTTTGATTTACTCAACATGTTAGAATTCAACAGCCTGAATTATGAGAATATGCTGCTAGCAAGGTTACTTCCCAGAAATTGGATTTGGCTTGCTATATTCAAGGAAATAAATTGGTACAAGGAACCACAACAATGACATGATATTTGCTGAACCACACCACCATAAAAGAGCATAAATTTTATAGATCACCCATTCCTTGAAGATGTGTTTAATAGATCTCGCCACATTCCTTGAACTAGGGTAAGAAATGAAGCTTTAAAATCAAGTATACAAGAGATGAAGATAACTGCTTGCATAACCTATGATTTCTTGGTGCCAAATCCATTCAGATAATCTTTCAAGGATGAAAAGTGAAAGAAGTGCTAACTGAAGTAGTTCCATTTATTCAACATGCTAGTATGATTTGACAGCCAGACTTACATAAAATATGCTGCCGGTAAATTAACCATGTTCATGGAAGTAACTGCTAAATTAACCACAGAAATGACAAATGACATTGGCTGACTCCAAAACTGCTTTTTAAACTTGTTAAACATACAAATAATCAACAGCTTCACAACAAAATTATCTCATCAAAATCTAGCTTACCCTACGTGCTTTAAAGACTAAAGCTAGCATGCAGTGCTATTAACGTGTTTTATTCCAGTTTGATCCTAACATCACAACAGAAATGAGAGAGTAAATTTAGCTGATATAGTAGTACATATCACACTTCCCGTTCAATAAACCACTGACATGACAAAAATTTATCATATTGATATAAGCATATGTTAAGGAAAGTATGTAATTAGGCTACAGGCATTACAATAAAATACATCCTACGTAATTAAGGCTTCTTTAACCACACAATCTCATCCTTTATCTATCAAGAAGGGATTATGTATGAATCATCATATGTTCACACTCATAAAAAAAGGAATGATGGAACGTAAGAATGGTTATCTTCTTGCAACCACTAGAGCCTTTCTATTCTAAAACTACGTCTGAAAACAATATTGGGTTAAAACCGCCTTCACAGCCACACATATTATTAACCGCTTACCATCAAGTTCACTAAAATTCAAAAGTCCATAGAAACCCTTACTAAATTTTATTCAGAAATAAATGTTAGAAACCATCTAAAATTGCAAATATTTGGATGTGTCACCTATGTTAACATTCATCCACATCAACAGAGAAAACTTAATTCTAGAGCATTGAAATGTGTATTTATTGGATACTCTCTTCTCGAAAGAAGTACAAGTATTATCATCCACAAACCAAAAAATTATATGTATCTGCAGATGTTGTATTTTGTTGCACAAAACTCAAAATTTTCTCAACTGTATCTTCAGGAGGAGCCTATATTAGAAGACAAGAATATCGAGTTCTTTATCTTACCACTTTTTACACATACTTAACCACCACCACAAGAAAACCCATAGAAACCACCAGAGAACCAGCCCACTCAAGAAACTATACCTGACCACAGATTCATCATATGCATACAAGGAGGAAGAATCTCAAACCGAAGCAGGTTCAAGAATCCAACATGAATTATGAGGCTGAAATAAGATTTGAAAACCCTACACAGTCTGATAATGATATTCTCATTGTAATTTATAAAGGAATCAGGACATGCACTAAATATCCCCTTCATTCTATCTCTAACACTGTTTATGAGACATTATCATGCGAGAAATAAAAAAAAAAATATCATGAATGTTAAATGCAAGAACCAGATAAAAATCAAACATGGACATGGTAGACTTGCGCAAAAGGAAGAAGTCTGCAAGTTGCAAGTGGGTGTTTACAATAAAAATATAAAGCAGATGAAGCAATTGAGAGATATAACACAAGATCGATGGCAAAAGGATATACTCATATCTATGAGATAGATTATCGAGAGATAGTCATATTGATAGCTAAGATGAACACAATGCACATTTTGCTACCTTTAGTTGCTCATTTTGATAGGTAACTACAACTATTTGATGTGAAGAATATACTCATACATGGAGATTTGTAAGAAGAAATCTCTATGAAGATCCCACTAGGATTTGACAGAGCGCAAGATCACATAAAATTTGTAAATTAAAGATGACACTCTATGAATCCAAGCAATCACCAAGAATAAAATTTGGTAGTTTTGCAAGATTTGTGACATGCTTGGGATACAAGCAAGCTCAAGGAAACAACGCTTTATTTATCAAGCATTTTGGGACAAAGGGAATTATCACTCTTCTAATATATGTCAATGATATTATTATAACAGGAGATGATGAAAAAGAGAAATTGATGCTAAAAAAAATTTAACTAGAGAATTCGAAATCAATAAACTAGGTAAATTGAAGTATTTTCTCGGAATTAAAGTCGTTCGCTCAAAATTAAAGATCGTCATCTCCCAATAAAAATACATACATTACGTATCAATCCCAATCATAAATTGATAAGTTGGCAATCTGCTATCAAGAGATCCCAGCAGAGATCTTCATATGCTATTAAGAGATTCAGACAAACTAATATGTAAGCCAGATAGCAGAAGAGAATACACCAGTAAATAAGAAAATGTATCAAGATTAGGTAGAAAACTAATATGCCTATTATACATAAGATCTGGGATCGCCTATGCAGTAAGTGTTATAAGTTAGTTCGTGCACAGCCTTAAAAAAATACACTTATAGGCAGCATATAGAGTGTTGCAAACCTAAAAAAGTCACCTGGAAAAGAGATCATGTTATGAAGAATGACAAGTTGATCTTAAAAGCCTATATAGATGTAGACTACGGAGGATCAGCAGTAGATAGAAAATCTACCACAAGTTACTATACCTTCTTGAGAATATCTTGGCTATATGAAGGAATAAGAAGCAAAATATAATTGCAAAGTTGAATGCAAAATCAGAAATCCGAGCAACAAAGAAATTAGAAGATTTAAATATCAAGTGGGACAATAAATCGGTCATAGTATTACCTATAATCCGGTATACTATGATAAGACCAAATATATTATTGACAGATATTTCATCAAAGAAAAACTAGACAGTGACCTAACATGTGCCCCACACATGCCGACCATCTCTCAACTTGTAGATGTGTTAATTAAAGACTTAAGTAATCTAGCATTTCAAACTATCATTGGCAAGTTAAAGTTGGATAATATCTATTCCCCAATTGAAGATGAAGTGCTAAAGAATATACTTAATTAGGTTAAAAGATATTATGGTAAAATACATTCTATGTAATTAATCGTTTATCTCATTTTCTATTAAAGAAAACTTATATATATAGAATTGTAATATTCAACAAGTACACATTCAACCGTTCCTCACAATATAACTACACCTTTCTGAGAGAATGAAGCGAGCAAAAAAAAAGAATAACAAGATTTTAGATTGAAAAAATAATAGATCTGAAAGGATAACGAACCTTATGGGAACCACTTCTTGCAAGAAATTTTGGAACCTGGCATAAAATATTAAGACAGTAAAGATATTATTATGAGATGTAAAACCACAATAGCATTCCTATTCTTCAATAACTTAGAATTTTATTTTTCTTATTTATTTTTTTTATTTATTATATTAGTAATTTTATTTCCTAATCCTATCACCATTAGTATTTCTCAATTTAATTCTATTTGGTAGTAGTTCCTATGAAAACATTATAAATATCTTTTGTAATCTCACTTTTGAGGCAGAGCACACTTATTTAATAACATATTTTGATAATTTTCTCAACTTTTTTTTAATTGTCTAATACAATCAAGTTCTTAAGTATGATATCTAGAGTTGTTTATATGTAATGCTTAAGAAATCCTATATGAGATGTTAACATTTTTATTCTCAAATCCTTATGTATACAAATTAATTATAATTTGTCCTACATCAAATGGGTACAAAAAATTAAAATAATCCACATCCTACAAACTCAAAACCCTATTTTTTTGTTCTTTAAAAGAAGCTACTAAAGCATTTAAGGACAGAAAAAGATCACAAAGCCAGAGAATAAGTTATACTCATCAATAAGAAAACTAAAAATAAAAAGTAAAGAATAAAAAACAAAAACAAAAAAAGAAAACAAAAAATAGTGAAACTATGAAGCCTATAAGTCGCAATTGCAAGTTCCTAATGACCATTAAGAGGTAAATCCCATAGCCATCACCGGAAGTTCTAGATGACCGCATTACAAATCTCCTTGATCCTGTCGTTCATCGAAATCACAACTTGCAAAAACCTTTGACTTGCAACCCCTACCTCTCATCGAGTCACTTGAAAAAAAAAATTGTCACCATCTAATGATTGAACATTAATAGATGAGCCCTGCGCTCGTCCAACCACGAATCTTACTTGCTCGGTTAGTAATGTTTTAACATTCTAGCACTTGTGACTAGGCCAGATTCTTTCTTCAATTAGACTAGTTCAACATTGATTCAAGAAAATTTTAATTAATTTGTCATCTCGTCTAAGTTGCAAATTACATATAACAACTTTAAAGATAGTCACTATAGTCAGATTAATTGCTAATCAAAATATGTATGAGGCAGACACCACTACTAGATTTGAGAAAATGCAAAAGGCAATTGAAAATTTTTAAAAATTAAGACTCTTGTGCACTATTCAAGTACCTCCATCAGTTTGAAACCTGAAAGTAGCCAACGACAATGCAACTAATAGGAGACATATTGAAGATAATACTAGAGATATTACTCCAAAGGTAATGGTAAAAAACTCCTTATCTTGAAGGATCCCAACTTCTTTTTCAATTAGCTTAACTCAATGGAAGAATACTGTAACTAGTATGACATGTTAGATGCGTGGATAGAAGAATATAGTATTGATCAAAATCTAGCAAGAATGAGACAACCAGCAGTTGAACATGGGATAAAATGAAAATCACTCGCCATAAAGAGTATTTACCTCAAACTACTTTGACAACCTTTGGTATTAAAGAAAATGACTGATTCTCAAGGAGAAACTTGAAGGTTAAGGTTTTAAATCATTCGGCGCTTCCAAATCTATTACCAAGTTTTATTAATCAAGGGAGAAATGATACATAATTAGTTAACTCTAGATTATATAAATAGATTAGAAATTAAAATTATTTGTTGATGATACCCTTACCTTTTGTCAGCCAGAAGAAGAGATGGTCATGAATTTGAGATGTATTCTTTTATGTTTTCAAGCTAGATCTGAACTGAATATCAATTTGTGTAAGTCTAAATTGGTGATGCTGGGGAGTAAGGGAAATGGTGACAGGTTGGCTAGAGGTCTTGGTTGCAAACTTGTCAATTTGCCTATTAAGTATTTGGGTTTACCATTGGGAGCTAAGTTTAAGGATGTAAAATCATGGGTCCGATAATTGATTTATTTGAGAAAAGACTTGCAAGTTGGAAAAGAAACTATCTTTCAAAAGGGAAAAAATTAATTTTGATTAAAAACACTCTTAAAAATCTTTCTATTTATTATTTATCTGGTTTAACTATCTCTGTGAAAATTGTAAAGAAGTTTGAGAATATACAATGTCGCTTTTTATGAAGGGACGACGATAGAAGCCGTAAATATCATTTGGTGAAGTGGGACGAGGTGAAACTACCAAAGTGGAAGAGGGGGTTTGGGTATTCGGTTTTTGATGGATTTAAACAAGGCGTTGTTGGGGAAGTGGTTGTGCAGATGTCATTCGGAGGATGAGAGGTTGTGGTGCAGGGTTATTGAGGCAAGGTGGGGGGATATTGTTGGGAAGGGGATTGGTAGGGTGTCTGGCAAGCCTCACGAGGTGGGTCTTTGGAAGGGTATTTGCATGGGTAGGACGCAGTTAATGGAGGGTATACAGTGGAAGCATAGGAGGGATAATATCATTAATTTTTGGGAAGATATATGGATTGTTAGGAGTAGTCTTATGAAGACGTATTGATTGTAGGGAGAAAGAATGTGGTGGTTGAAGAGGTATTTAAGGGAGTGGATGGGAGGAGTGGTTGGGACATTAATTTGGTTAGGAATTTGAATGATTGGGAGATTGATGAGTTCACAATGCCACTACAAGTTCACGCTGATTGTGCAATTACAAAACCACAAAGATAAGATCACTTGGAAATTCAAAAAGATGGTATCTTTACTGTGAAGCTCTTCTATGGCTATTTGGCTAATAAGGAGAAGGTTGGCTCGAAGTTTCCAGTTTGTTAGATTTGGAAAGCACAGGTGCCACTAAGAATTGTTTTTTTTTTCTTGGGAATCGGGTCGAGAATGTATTCTTACTATAGATAAGTTGATGAGAAGAGGTCATACTATGATCAATGGTTGCTACCTCTATATGGAAGTTGCTGAATCTTGCAATCATTCACTCCATTGGTGCCCGTGATCGATAGTCTTTGGCATATGGTGTACAGCTTACTGGATATTAATTGGATGATTGGAGACTCGGTCAAAAATGAACTCTAGGCTTGGACCAGGGTGGGGATCAGACCAAAACTTGCCACTTTAATTTGTTTGGCTATTTTTTGGGTGGTGTAGAAAAAGAGGAACAATAGAGCGTTCAATTGGTGTGTAAGGGGATATTAGTAAAATTAGAGACAAGCAGTTACAAACTCTTGCATCTCTAATTTTGGGTCATGATATATATGGGTGAGATGATTTTAGAAGAATATTGGATGTACTACCTGACTTGTAAATATTTTTGTATAGAAGAAGCACTTTTTAAAAATAAAAAATAAAAAAATAATGTATATATATAAACAAGGTACCAAGAGAGGGAGTACTACCCATTTACAAAGAGGATTTACAACCGTGTTAGTGTATTAATGACATTCTCAAAATCCACATCACTGATAATGTCATGACTAAATGATATTGACCCAAAATAACGTAACTATCTATTTTTCATTCTATTGATACTACTTTCAATATTGTCAAAAACCATACCATTCCTCTCCTTCCATATAACCTAAAAAACTGTCAATAGAATCAAGTTCGCAATTTTATTTTTTACAGATAGTCCATCCCATGCCCAAATTTTCTCTCTAGCAGATCCAACAATTACCCACTCAATTCCCAACAAACGATAAATCATACACCACAAACTGTGCACAGTCAGACAACACAAAAGAAGATGATTGCAAGTTTCCTTAGCTTGAAGACAACAGATGCAGCCATTAACCAGGATCCTTCCTCTAATTTTCAGTTTATCAATTGTCAAGATTCGTTACCAACTTCCGTTTTCCATATTTATTTTGCCAGGAAAATAACCCTACCCTCACTATTCTTTCTACATAGGAATTTGTAGTGAGATCGGACAGAGAAAAATCTGTTATCCTCAAGTTTCCACCAGATTTGGTCCTCACACATAGATACCTCCTGCTTTTCAAGAATCTGCATTGATTCTTCAAACTCACCCACCTCCCAATCATTCAAATTCTGGGAAACTTTGATATCCCACACAGCTCTATCATTCACAAACTGGACAGCATTCTCCACACGCAAATTCTTGGATTGAGTAATGCTGAAAATACTGGGAAATATACTTCTAAGGCTACCCATCCTGCAACCAATCATCATCCCAGAAGAAAATCTTGTTGTCTCTGCTCAGTTTCCATGAAAAACATTGCTGAAAATTAGTCTATTGCATCGGAATTTTTCTCCACAGTCCTCTCCCATGAGGGATTGTAATTCTACAGCCAGTCCTGCTCATCATGAAATTACCCCATTTTGAATGTACAATTCTCCTCCACAAACTGTTTTTTTCTTTCAAGTATCTCCACAACCATTTACCATGTAAAGCCTTATGAAACCCCCCCCCCCAATTTGGCAGGCTCTTTGATATTGTCTCATTTTACTAAATGGAATTTCCGAACATCATCACCATCACCCCAAAGGAATCTACATTGTATTGTTTCCAATCTTTTCGCCACCTTAGCAGGGATAGTAATTGTTGATAAATAATATATTGAGAGATTAGATAAAGTGCTCTTGATTAATGTGTATCTCCCACCTTTAGAGAGGAAATTTCTCTTCCACCCTGAAAGTTTTCTTTCAAACAATCCAATTTTGGCTCTCAAAACATGAGATCTTTGTATTTAGCACCCAGAGGAATTCCAAGATATTTAAAAGGGAATTTTACCTCCTTACACCCCAAAACAGCAGCAAACAGTCCAGCATCCCACTGCCATTGATTCTAACAATTTCAGATTTAAATAGGTTTATTTTGAGTCCAAAAACAGCATGAAAACACAGAAGTGTGCATTTTAGATGTAGTAGATTCTTAATTTTTGGTTGACAGAAAATCAGGGTGTCATCTGCAAAGAATAAGTGAGATACTTCGATGGTGTTCTCTTCTTTTCCAACCAAAACACCTCTGATCAAATGAAGTTCCCTTACCCTATCCAAAAGACCATTTAGAGCCTCCATTACTATAACGAAGAGTAGAGGAGATAAAGGATCGCCTTGTCTTAAACCTGTAGATCCATTGAAAAATGTTGAGGGGTCTCCATTCACAAGAATGGCAAAAGAAGTGGTAGAGATACAATTCTTCATCCATGTTCTCCACTTCAAACCAAAACCCATCCTAAAAAGTATATAGTCAACAAAATTCCAATTAATGTGGTCATAGGCTTTTTCCATGTCAAATTACGAACCAACCAATTCTTTCTGTTCATCATAAGGTCATCAGCCATTTCGTTAGTGGCCATTATAGCATCAAGAATCTGTCTACCATCCACAAAAGCATGTTGACAATCTCCAATAACCACCCCCATCACCTTTGCAAGTCTTCTAACCAGCACCTTAGCAACAAACTTATACATACACCCGACCAAACTAATAGGTCTAAAATCCTTAAATTCATTTACACCACTCTTCTTGGGAATAAGAGTGACAAAAGTGATGTTTAAGGATTTAATAAATTTTCAATTGGAGTGCAACTCCTTGAAAACAGCCATAATGTCCTCCTGCAGTAGGGGCTAGAAACTCAATAAAAAATTCATACCAAAACTATCAGGACCCGGCACTTTATTACCATCACAAGATTTTAAACCATCAAAGACCTCTTCAGCAGTAAAATCTTCTTCCAGTGACTATCTGCACACATCAGATATTCTGCAAAAATGAATACCATCCAATTTGGGTCTAAAGG